AAGAGCAGTTTTCATTCTACATGCCCCCCAGGACACTTGGCAATGTCTAGAGACACTTTCAATTATCACAACTCAGGGGTGGGAAGGGACCTACTGGTAAAGGCCAGGGATGCTACTAAACATCCTACAAGGTACAACAGCGCTACCACACAGAATTATCTGTCTCCCAATGTTAATAGTGCCAAGGTTAGAAAACCCTGCAGAAGGGTTATGGACATAAATTATTTTTTAATTAAAAAAATTTCTAACATTAACAGCATGATAAAAACTCCATGCACTGGAGATAGTGCTTGATGAGGTGTGCCTGTACTTTTTTGGCTGAACAGGCTTTGTAGGTCAGTGTGGGAGGCACTGGACTTTGAAAAACAGGCACTCTGTACCCGGGTTGTCCTGGGGCTCTTTGGCCATGACTCAGTGACTTGGCCCTTTCTCAGGTGACTTGGGTGCAAGGTTACTGTAATTCCAAAAGATGGAGGACAAGTGTAAGATTTATTAAATGCACATTAGAGAAGCTAGCAGGAACTTTTTTTTGGTTATACAGCTCTTATACTTATCCAAGGAGTCTTACCAACCTCACATCAACTATATGTGCATGCATATGCGTGTATGTGTAAATAATTAAATTACTTTTGATTGAGACCCATTGATTTGAGCGGTATGGGGCTGGAGGAAGTACATTGGGTGGAATTTTGAAAAAATGAAGTTTCTCCATTTAGATTCTAACTTCCATGTAACCTTTCTCTTATCTAGAAAGGGAAGGAGACTAACATCACTTGAGCACTAACTATATGTCAGGGAGTTTTCTGCCTTGTCTCACTACATTCTCATAAAAGGTCCTTGGAATAGATATTATTGCCACCCTCATTTTACAGAATAGGGGAACCGGGGCTTAGAGAGAAGATGTGTTTGTACATATAACAAATACATTTATCATAAACACATACCAAAGGAGTTGATTTCCATTTTTACCTTATTTATGTTCCAAATAATTGTCCAGAGGACAAAAATAAGGTTGATGTCTTTAAGAATAGAGTAAATTTATGTTTTAGGAAATCCAAGTGGTAATTTTAGAAAACTACGACAGTTACACGGGCTCAGTTCTCCCTTCCCAATATGTTATTGCCATGGAGTGCAGCTCACTTGAGAGGAAGATGTAGAACAAGGGCCTGGAGCCTCAGGTCTTCCTGGGAGGTGGGTGGTCTACAGTATGTTCTACTGGATCTTCTGTGCCTCTGCACAGATCTACCCTTCTCCCATCACTGCAATCACTAATATCTTTTTGGACGTCACTGGAGGTGGGAAGGATGAGATCCTCAGGTGAGTCTGTGGGGGAAGATTCTTTTTCTTACCCAATGGTGCAAGTGTGGTAACTGGGGCCCAGAGAAGAGACCGAGTGACTCATTGTTGCACAGAATCCAAGGGCTGGGGCCAGCTTTATTGAACAGTTCCTCAACCCCAAAGCTTTTCTACTATTCATGGAACTTGTCTAGCTTTACCCTGTTATTTTGAAGAGTATGTCCTCTCTGATTCTCACTCAAGTTCCAATTCTTCCTAATGACTAGATCCTCCCAATGAGAAAGTCAAATATTAAATTACTTCAGTGTTACATGCTTCTGGACATCCATGTTCTACAGGGCACCCTTTCCAAGGTAAAACTTAACTCAGAGGAATATGGGGCCCATAACATGATGACAGGCTTCAGGAACCGATCATGGGGAAAAACTCCATTGGACCACATCACAGAAGGGTGACAACCTCTCTGGCAAGAAAAAAATTTCTCTTTCCTTTTTTTGAGAGAGAGAAAAAGAGAGAGAGAGTGCACAAGCAGGGGGGAGAGACAGAGGGAGAGGAATAGACAGAATCTTAAGCAGGCTCCACACTCAGTGCAGAGCCCAAGGCAGGGCTCAATCTCACCACCCTGAGATCATGACCTGAGCTGAAACCAAGAGTCAGACACTCAACTGACTGAGCCACCTAGGCACCCCAAGAAAAAAGTTCTCTTGTGCTCATTCAGACTTCTAGGCTCAAAGACCCCTCCAGGTGCCATCCTCGCTATATCCATCAGGGTTTCTAGACACAAATGCAACTCTGGTTATTTTGAGCAGAAAGGAAATTTATTTTTTAAGAATTTGGGTAGTTCACAGGATCACCAGAAGGACTAGAAAATAAGACTAGGAGAATGGCTGGGAACAAGGAGGCAGCAAAGTAGGGGCCACAGTTAATAGAACATTGAACACTTGGATCATCTTGCCCCATCAATGCCATCACCATCATCCCTGCCACTACTGCTCCCAGAAACAGGATGAGGTTGTCTGTTGCCACTGTTGCCATCAGAATAAATTCCCCATTGGCCTTGCTTCTTTTCTTACTAGCTCCCAGTTCAATGTCTGTTCAATGTGGGAGTGTCTGATTGAGCCCAAGATAAGTGCCTACTTCCTAGCTGCAAGAGAGGCTGGGAGAGTGCTTATGCTACTAATTACCAACTGTGCCTCAGCTGCAAGTCCATCTTTTCATACTCTTCTCTGTAATGCTTCCAGTGGGACGCTGCAAACGAAATTTTCCCTCATTCTTTTGTCAGTTGCTTCCAGCAGTTCCAGTTAGACTCTGCATGGGAGACACTGAGAAGAAATTGACAGGTGAAATGAGGGGAGAAGCGGTTTCCTTCCTGTGTCTGGCTCTGGTCAGCATGCCTCCAGCGGCAAAACACAGTTATACTTCTATCCTCTGGACCCTTTTGGCACTTTTCAAGCCACATGCATTACACTTCCTCAGATACTAGCACCAGATGGCTGCATCTCCCAACTCAGTGGACCTAGCACCATTTGAGCCAGGTTCCCCTCAGAGGTCAGAACACCAGTCACTGCATTTTAGAAGACTGAGTGCCAACCAGATGGCCCCCACCTCTCTGTTCTGCCAGAGGTATGAGCACCAGCTGTGCCTGGGCCCCCTCTATGAACTCCTAGGTCTGCAAACCCCAAAGATTTTATTCTCTCAAATCTAGGAGTGATGGATATATCCCCCACCCCCACCAATGCTCATATAACCGATTTTCAGTATTAAATCCTCTCTGTTTGAAATACTGATTGTAGTTTCTGTGTCCTTTACTGAATCTTGACTGATAGAGTCTGGCTTTTTCAGCTTTTACAGTGGAAAGCTGGTTTTACCTTATATCAAGACTCCTGGGGCACCTGGGTGGCTCAGTCGGTTAAGCATCTGCCTTCGTCTCAGGTCAGGATCCCAGGGTCCTGGGATTGAGCTCCATGTCAGGCTCCCTGCTCAGCGAGGAGTCTGCTTCTCCCTCTCCCTCTGCCCCTCCCCCTGCTTGTGCTCTCTCTGTCCCTCTCTGTCTGTCTCTCAAATAAATAAATAAAAAAAATCTTAAAAAAAAAAAAGACTCCTGGCAGAGACTTCTTCAACTGTTAGAATGGAATTAAGATGCTGAATATTGTCAAACCAACTGACAAATAGCCATTATATCCATCCTGATTTCCAACTAGGCTGTATATCTGACAACACCTTGCTACCCTTCAAACCTGGATTTTAGCTCCAGTTTTGCTGTTGATTTGCTATGTGATCTTGGAGGAGTCTATTTCCTACTAGAAGCTTCCATTTGTACATGGGTTAAAAAAAAAAAGGAGGGAGACTGGGTCTGTGGAACTCAACATTCCCCTAGTTTCAAAACCATCTCCAGCGTCCTCTAGGCATTTCTGAATCTGGAGAGAGCTTCAAGGGGAGAATAAGGAGAGGGAAGATGAGGAGTCCTGGATCTGCGTGAGTAACCATGAGTAACATTTGAAGATTCCACTTGAGGTGTCCTCTGGGTTCTAATGGGCAGAGTAATGAGCAAACAGTTAACAAAGAAACACAAATCTTCCACTGAGGTCCTTGTAAGGCAGAGGGTTCCCTGTGCCCAGCCCCTAGGGCTGAGTTCACTCCTGAGGACAGCAGGTAAGCAGACTTTATAAACCACAAGGCACATTCTGGCCATTTCCAAAGACCACTCTGATCCATGGGCCTTCTAGTGCAGAATTGATTTTGTTCCAGTCATTCATGTATGTCAACATTAATCAAGGACTGAGAGGCACTAATGGGACAGACAAACATCAGGTGCTTATTAGATTTGGCTGGGTTCCTGAGCTGCCATAGTTCCTCAAATTGAGAAGTGCTCTTTGACATTATTAATCCATCACCTTCATCTTATGGATAGGAGACTGAGGTCCTGAGAGAAGCATCCCTCCACCCTACCCTGTGCCAATTAGCTCATACTTCAACTAGGGGCAAAGTTGGGATTTGTATTTGGATATTTTTATTCCCAGATAAGTGCTCCTCCCATTTCCTTCTTCACACAGGATGCAGACCAGTGATGACTTGTTGCAAATTTGGTCTGGATCATAAAGATGCACAAAGACAGTCTTCCTGGGAGAACAGACTAACTCTCACAGATGTGTGGAGGCAAGAGCCATGTAAATGAAGGAGATGCAAACGTGGGGGCCACCTGGCTAGATGGTCACTCTGCAAAACTGCCAGACTAGCAGGACTTTGGGGTCTTCTGCACAACCTTTCCCTGATCATCCCCACATTTAATGATTCTAACATTTTCTCCTGATCTCCTTCTATACAAGGAGAAGACACGAATAGACTCCTTAAGCCTTTATTATTTTTTTCCCCACTGATGGCTTGGCCCTTAAATATCATCCAATCCACAGGTTCTGAAACTTTAAAATCACTTGGCTGTACTTGTTAAAAAATGCATATTTATGGGATCTGGAGGACCCATCTTTTATTTTTATTTTGTTGTTGTTTAGTTTTTATTTCATAATCATATTAATTATGCTATCCAACTAGACTTGGAGGGGAGTAAGGAAAACATGGAAACCATAGAACTGCAGTGAGAGCACAAAGCTTATGGGATATTTCAAGCAGGTGGGGGTGAGGGGGGTGCTCTCCTGAGCTACCGAAGGAATGGTCTGGTAGTTAAGATAAAACACAAGTCAAATTTATTAGATTTGTCCACAGTCAGCAATGGTGACCTTCTTGCTGGTCTTCCCATTCCTGGACCCAAAGTGCTCCATGGCTTCCACAATATTCATGCCTTCTTTGACCTTGCTAAAGACCACATGCTTGCCATCCAACCACTCAGTCTTGGCAGTACAGATGAAAAACTGGGAACTGTTTGTGTTGGGTCCACCATTTGCCATGGACAAGATGCCAGGACCCATGTGCTTCAAGATGAAATTTTCATCATCAAATTTCTCCCCATAGATGGACTGGTCACCAGTGCCATTATGGCAACCGATGTCACCACCTTAGCACATAAATCCCGGAATAATTCTATGAGAGCAGGAAACTTTATAACCAAATCCTTTCTCCCCAGTGCTCAGAGCACTAAAGTTCTCTGTTGTCTTTGGAACTTTGCCTGCAAACAGCTGGAAGGAGACCCAAACCAAGGGCTCGCCATCCATAGCCATGTTGAAAAACATGGTGGGGTCGACTGTAGCTGGGTGGGGCAGGCCACTCCGGGGCAGCAGCATCTGCAGTTCCTTGAGGACCTGTATTTTAGATAGCCCCTCCCCACCCCAACTAATTATAATGGAGGTGTTTGCTAACAGCATTTTCAGAAATACTCATCAGTTTAACCTACCCTTTTTAAAGAGAGAGAGACATGGAGAGGAAAGGACTTATTCAACAGTAAGTGGATCCCAACCCTTGTTAGAGCCTCTTGATTCAAGTTATACCAGACAATGGACCCCTTTAAAAAATACATCCAGGTTTTGGTGTGCTGTGGTGGCCAAGCCTCCTGCTGTGGGGCCCCCTCTTTAAGCCTGGCACCTTCTGATCCTGCCCATTCCTTTGGGGGACCTTCCCCAAAAGTCTTCCTTCCCCTTGACGTCTCTGTGCCTTTCCTCTACTCTATCCCTCCCCTCCTTGCCTCTCCTCTTCTTTTCACTTCCTTCCCATCTGTTCCAATTACCTACCTATTGCTGTGAATAAAATTTCCCAGAATAGTTTCTATTTCTCACCATTTTGTGGCTGAGCAATTTGGGAGGGAATGAACTTGGTGGTTCTCTCCTAGAGTCTTCACTCGGTTGTAGTCAGATGTCTGCTGGGGCCACAGTCATCTGAAGCTCTGCTGGGTTGGAAGCTCATTCACATGGCTGGGAACTGACACTGGCTCTCAGGTAGATCGTGTCTGGGGCTGTCGATCAGAGCACATGCTTGGGCCTCCCCAGCATGGTTGTCTCAGTGTAACTGGACCTCTTCCATGGCAGCTGCCTCACAGCCCCGCCCTCCCCACCCCCCAAACAAGCATCCTAAGAGGATGGAGTACACTTTTTCTGGCCTAACCTTGGAGGTCACACAGCATCATCTGGCTTTACTCTATACTAGTCAAAGCAGTCCCACAGTTTGCCGAGATTCAAAGGGAGGGGCCATGGACTCCATGGACTCTACCTCTAGACTGAAGTGAGTGAAAGAATTGTAGGTCCCTGCTTTAAAACTGTGCCATCATTCAGTATCTTTTCCTCCTCCATCATTCTCTCTTCTCCCTTCCTCTACATCTCTTCTTTGCTGCCCCATCTCCTCCTTTCATGTCTCTCCCCAGTTATCTTCTATTTTGTAGTGTCTGCGCTGGACTCTGGAAGTGTATCCTTCAGTGAAAGCTCAGGAAACAAGCCCACAGCCTTTTTGGAGATGGATCTCCCATCAAGTTAATGGAGCTCAAGCCTCATGGTCCCTCACTTGAGCAAACATGGTTCCATTCTAAGCATTTCATGACAATTTTACCAGGGCCACAGCATCATCAGAGTTCCCAAATTGCAGGATTTCCATACTTTTCTCTTTCTTTTGGTGTCACTGGAAGACCCAACGATTTCTTGTTCTGCAAACACTGCACAGAGGGAGTAGATTCTCAGAAATATCAGACCTACAGAACACTTTATTAGAGAAACTGGAGGCTTCTGAAGCATACACAGGTACCGTAAGAGTGAAGAGATAGGATCAGACAATGAGAAGGGGTTAAAGCGTGAAGGGCATTGTGTTTGAAGAGAAGCAGGGCTGGAGGAAAGAGAGTAAGCAAATCCTGGGGTTTGGTTTTTGGAACAATGTCCTGGCAGCTGAGATTTGGCCAGAGGAAGCCGATATGAAGCATCAGTCAGGCACACATGGAGAGAGCCCTGAATTATGAGCCAAATTCTGGAGGTTGTTCCAGTTCCTTTTATCCTACTGAGGGAGATGGTGACTCTGCAAGATAGCAGAACAGAAAAGGATGAGATGCTTGGGCCCTACTCATCTCAGGAACCAAATCTTGTAGTGAATGGAACAAAGGAGATGGGGTCATTTTTATATCTTTTCACAGGAATAGAAACCAGAAGTGGAGTGATTTGGGGCCTCAGGGTGCTCGTGTGCTCTGGTTTCTCCAGTCAAGTGCCAGTTTAAACCTGTTGTCCCAATGTAATAATTAATGGCATCCCCTTTCACTCTCAAAAGTTTCTTAGTTTGATCAATAAAGCATGTGGTTGTCCTGGTTCTAATCACCTTAAAAAGGAAAATGAAGAGATTGTGTGATGGGTGCCCAGCACTGGGCTGGTTCACTGGGCCTTCTTCTGACATCATCTTGGATACTCCACCCCTCTGCTTCCTCGTTCTGCACCCCCTATTCATCTCATACTTGCTGATTTCCCTCTGACTATTGCTCTTCTTCCCACCTTCTCTTTCCCAAAGCATCCCCTAATTACCCCTCTGCGAGGACTGGTTCTATCTACCCCAGGCCTGCTAACTCCCTGGAATGGGCCAATCAACACCCAGACCTCCCACCTGTGCAGGTGAGCATGGGAGATGGGACCCCTGAGACTTACATATTTCCTGGCAGATGGCCCTGCAGACAGCTTTAGATTGGAAGTTGTTACTGTTCCCACTGCAACCACCATAGTCGAATCTAGAGCAGCTTTTGATTTCCTTATTGTACCACCAGCGTGGAATGCGGGCCAAGCAGAGGCCAATATCCATCGGCAAACTGCATATGTCTGCAAGGAGATGGCAGAGCTGTATTGCTTGGGTGCCTGCCTTGCTAGAGAATATTCCAGGTGTATGCAAAAGCTTGGAAGAATGAAAGAGCATGATATTTTTAGAGCAGCATGAACTTGCTAAAAAATATTATGCTGTTACACTTATCTGTGCTTCTGCACATGCCTGGAGTGTCCACTCCTCTCTTGCTTACTAGGTGTACTCCTATTCATTCCTCAAAACACTCCCACACATCAAGCTCTTCTATAATGTCTCTCCTGGCTCCATTCTTCATTGTTTGCTTTTCTTTGTTGCTTTTCAATCTTGCCCACACATTGATCTCTTCCACATAATTATTTGTTCATATTTTCTGACTCCTCCATCAGAAAGTGAGGTTTGCACATTACGTCATCTTGGTACACGAGTTCCTAGCAGGTAATCTGGCACTGAGACATGCTTCAGGAATGTTCACAGTACAAAATCAAATATATCCTGAACTTTGAGAAATACTTAATGGGCAACTGTTTTGTGCATAGTACTATGAGGTACAAATAGAGTTGTTCAGAACCTCATAGTCTGAAGCACAACAACAACAGCATTTATTAAAGTTCTTAGCATTTGACATATATTGACATATAATCTGAGGAGGTAGGTCCTCTTCTTGTCTTCATTTTGTAGATGAGGAAACTGAAGTTAAGAGAGGCCAAGTAACTTCCCTAAGATCACAGAAGATGGCAAGGGATTTGAACGTAGATATTCCGTTGCTCTTAGGATCAAGACCAGACGCCTTAATCTGGCCAGCAAGACCCTGCCTTGTCAGAACCTTGCCTACCTATCATGGCCTCACCATCCTGATATTTCTCTCTCTTACCACAAGCATGCTCACTCTCTGGTCTCTGGACTTTCTAGGCCTGAGCCTGCTGTGTCCTCACACAGGGCCTTTGCACATGCTATTAGCTGTGCCTGGAAAGCTCTTCCCTCCAATTTTTGCCTACTTACTGCCCATCTTTCAGATCTTAAATCATAGATCTTTTTTTCCGAGAAAAACCTTTCTTGCCTCCCCTGGCCTATATTGAGCAAGTGGGTCCCATCATGTGTGTAAGGGGCACCAGTAAATATTTGTTGAATGAATGAATGAATGAATGGTCCTTGATGGTCCTCTTTAGAGTTCAATTATATGGGCACAGAGGAAAGAGTGGGTGAAGAGGTAAAAAATGGTTAGAGAAGGCATCCTGGATTTATATGACAGAGAAGCCTTGGGGGGTGGGGAAAGCCAAGAACTATAAATCATATACCTGTTTCTTATAGCTATCATATCACCTGACACCATGCTGGCATTTGATGGGACTTCAGTGGGAACTTGGCACCTCAGAGGATCACAGAAGAATAGCCAAGAAACCATGTGGTCTAATGCCTACATCTTTCTTACAGATGGGGAAACTAAAGCCCATAAAGCAAAAACTCTGTTACTCACATCATATACCTGAGCAGGGGCAAAAATGAAATAAACCCCACCCCCGTCCAGCACTGCTAGGATTTGGGTCAAGTAGAAGATGCACCCAGATTCTTGGTCAGAGACCAGCCATCAGGGAACCAGGGGAGAGGTCCGACGCTGCCAGTGCAGATGGGCAGAGAGTGGGGGTCAGGAGGGAGGGCACTGGATAGTTCAGGGGGTTTGTGTGTTACCTTCATTGAAGTCTAAACATTTCTTTCCACAGTTAAAATTGCAACACTTCATCTTCCCGGGGCATGGTTTGTTCTTCGCGCACTGGTCGATTTCTCTGTAACTACATGGTACTCTGGTCCGGGGACACCTCTCTGAGAGAGGGAAAAAAAGGAAGAAGGAAGGCCAGAACCCTCCATTGCCAGGCCCAGGGCAACACCGCAGAGTTAGAGAAGACTTTTCTCTCTTCATCGTCCCCAGAAGGTAGTGACCTTTGGAGGACTCCGGATTTTCACAGCACTGGCCCCACTCCCAACCTCATAATGACTCCCCATCTAGTCCCTAAACACAGCCCTACTCCCACCCCCACCAACCATGAGGTTTCAGGAAGAAGGATGCTCTCCCCTAGAACTATTCTGGTCACTTGGCCTTCCCATATTTGGATGTTCCCTGGGTGGGGGCGAGGGTGCTATAGCGCTCTTCTAGGTGACTGAGATCTCCATTTGTGGAGTCAGATGCCTGGGCTTTTGAATTCTGTGCCACCATTAGTATGGCAGGCACCATCTTTGGACCTTGATTCTTTCATTTGCCTAAAGAGTTGTTTGGAGGATTAGGTGACAAAACTTGGAAGCCATTGTCAGGTGGCCTGGGGCGTAATAATGATAACTAATATTAATGAGGTGCTTACTGTGGACTTGTTCTCTTCTCCTTAATCTTTGTGGCATTTCTATGGGTGAGTCCTATCAATATCCACATTTTATAAACAGAGGAATCTGGAGCACAGGGAGGTTATGTGAATTTCGCCAAGATCACACGGTTACTAAGGAGAGGAGCCAGGATTTGAACCTGCAATGTATGGTCTCACTGCTGAGTGCTCAGTGTATTTTAGCTGCTACTTATGGGGGTCTTCATATCTCAGCATTCTGAGGGACTTCAAGAGACCATTCTTTACTCCACAGGCAAGGACCCTCTGGGGGTGTGGGTGTGGGGAGACTTTTGGGGGCTGCAACTGGAAGATTCAAAGTTGCTGAGGGTGGTGCTGGGGTGAGGGACCTTTCTTGCAGGAAAGGCCCATAAAGTCTCAGCACCTTTAGTCCATCTCATGAGCTCCAGGCACCTCCAGAAGGAATCTGTCTCATAACGATAGTGGGGAGTCTGTTGCTAGAGACTCAGCTTCTTGCACTCACAGAAGGTATCTTACTAGATGGTAGGGGTCTGAGAGAAGGACTGTGAATATCTCCCTTTCTCCCACCTAGGACCCCAGGCTGAGTGGGGGAGGCGTTCCTCATCCGTAGAATTCTTTGTTCCTCCCTCCCAGCAACTTCCATGTCTCCACTAGGAAGACCTAGTCCCCAGTACTTACTGCCAAAGAACCCCTCAACCAGCTCAGGTTCCTGGACTCCCCCCAAGAGGATGAAGAGTGCCAGGACTGGCAGAAAACCCAAGAGCCCCATTTTAAGAGCTACTGGCCTGGCTGGTGGCACCAAAATTAGGAACTGCTCCTCAGTAGCTTCTGCTTCTGAGCTTTGGCTGCCCTGGCACAGGAGCCACGTATCACTGAAGACAAGCCAGCCACACTCCCTCTGCTGGGGAACGCCAAGTCCCCGAGGCCATCAGTGGGAGTAGCTGACACCCACAGCACCGACCCTGGGGGAAAGGGCTCTTGACAGGAAGCTTCTACTTCTCAGCTCGCTGAGGCTCTCTGGTTCTCTGGTCAGCCAGGGAGAGGGGGCAAAACTTGTCTGGGACTTCTAGACTCCCTCGGAGAAGGGAATGTTCAATTTCAGCATCTTCCATTTTCCAGGGGGAGTTTAGAGATCCAAGAATATCCCAGCTCTCTTCTTTCCAATCTTACACCTCTCCTGATATGTCTACTTGTCCGTCTGCTTGTTTTTCTCACACTGTCGATTTTCCTTCTCTCTGCGCCTCCTCCTTTAACTCTCTGTCTGCCTTTTTCTCTTTTCTTATGAGTCTCCCTCTGGGTCTCTTCCTCCCTGCCCTTCATTTCCCTTCTGTCCTCCTTTCTCTTCTCTTTGGGCCACCCCTTTTCCTTAACCATCGTCAAAAAGTAAAGATGTTACCATGAGTAGCATGTGGTCTGGAGGAGACAGGTTGATCCCAGGTTGAACCAAATCTTCTGAGAGTGTGTGTCAGGATCATGGTGCTTTGAAAGCAGGAGAGGATGCCAGAGCTAACGGAGAGCCTCTATCATTGGGTGCAATTTGGAATGGGTGATGCAGGAAGAAATAATAAATATCAGTTATGACCTGGGACAACCATGGGGCATGAAGATTCTTCCCCGAACTTTCCAACTTAAGGTGTGAAGTGTTAATAAGACATGTTCTTGGCTTGCCTCTGATTTCACCTGCAGCTGTGGGAGACAGTTCTAGTGCACATTTTTTTCTAACCATTTTTAAAAATGAAGTGGAATTAACATCAGATAAGATTAACCATTTTTAAGTGGACAGATCAGAGGCTTTTTTTTTATGTTATGTTAGTCACCATACAGTACATCATTAGTTTTTGATGTAGTGTTCCATGGTTCATAGTTTGCGTATAACACCCAGTGCTCCATGCGATACATGCCCTCCTTAATACCCATCACTGAGCTAACCCATCCTTCCACCCCCCTCCCCTCTAAAACCCTCAGTTTGATTCCCGGAGTCCATAGTCTTTCATGGTTCTTCTCCCCCTCTGATTTCCCCCCCTTCATTTTCCCCTTCCATCTCCTAATGTCCTCCATGCTATTCCTTATGTTCCACAAATAAGTGAAACCATATGATAATTGGCTTTCTCTGCTTGACTTATTTCACTTAGTATAATCTCCTCCAGTCCCATCCATGTTGATGCAAAAGTTGGGTTATTCATCTTTTCTGATGGCTGAGTAACATTCCATTGTATATATGGACCACATCTTCTTTATCCATTTGTCTGTTGAAGGGCATCTCAGCTCTTTCTACAGTTTGGCTATTGTGGACATTGCTGCTATGAACATTGGGGGGCATGTGGCCCTTCTTTTCGCTACATCTGTATCTTTGGAGTAAATGCCCGATAGTGCAATTGCTGGGTCATAGGGTGGCTCTATTTTTAACGTTTTGAGGAACCTGCACACTGTTTTCCAAAGTGGCTGTACCAGCTTGCATTCCCAGCAACACTGTAAGAGGGTTCCCCTTTCTCCACAACCTCTCCAACATTTGTTGTTTCTTGCCTTGTCAATTTTTGCCATTCTAGTTGTAAGGTGGTATCTCAGTGTGGTTTTGCTTTGAATTTCCCTGATGGCTAATGATGATGAACATTTTTTCATGTGTCTGGGAGAAGATATTTGCAAATGGCACTACAGATAAGGGTTGATATCCAAGATATCCAAGATCTATAAAGAACTTCTCAAACTCAACACCCAAAAAACAAATAATCAAGTCAAAAAATGAGCAGAAGACATGAACAGACACTTCTCCAGATCAGAGGCTTTTAAGTGCCTTCACAATGTTGTGTAACCATCACCTTTATTAGTTCCACAATATTTTTATCACTCCGGAAGAAAACCTTAGGGGCACCTGGCTGGCTCAGTCAGAAGACCACGCAACTCTTGATCTCGGGAGCTTGAGCCCCACCTCTGGTGTAGAGATTACTTAAAGAAATAAAACTGAAAAAAAAAGGACAGTCTCTACCTATTAGCAGTCACTATTTTCCCCAGCCTAATCCTGCCCCTGGCAACCAGTAACCTACTTTCTCTTTCTATGGATCTACCGATTCTGGATATGTCATATAAATGGAATCATATAGTATATGACCTTTCCTATCTGGCTTTTTTTGCATCACCTAATGCTTTTGAGGTTCATCCACAGTGTATCTTGTGTTAGTTCTTTGCTTCTTGTTGTGGCCAGTGCACAGTGATAGCTTCCCACTTCAAGTGTCAGAGTCTCTACTTCTGTGCTGTGGGTTTTCTCTGGCTCCCTGACAGCTTGCTCAGCTTGTGTGGGGAATAATCTGGAGGAGCAAGGGGTTTCATAGGCCCAGGCAGCCAGGAGGGGATGGGAATTAATGAATAAATGCCTCAGCTGCCCCATCACTGGAGATGAGTGTAGACATTTGGACACATGTTTTACAGGGTTCCTTAGAAGGTCCCAGGGGGAGTAAGCTGCAGTTTGCCCCCACAGTAACCATAATCATAATTATGATACACTCCTCTCTTGCCTGTGTCACCTACCCCATCCCCACCTTGTGTGTATTGAGACATCTCCCAAATAAACTCCTCTACCCATGTCCTTGTCCTAGGATTGGTTTCTGGGGGATCCAAACTAAGGCAATGCCCATAGACCCTTGTCTTAAAAGGGTCTTACAATTTTTTGAAGAAACAGAGGTAGATAACAATGTCCCTGGAGCTCTCAACTCTCAAGGTTCTGATAGTTCTCACTCCCTTTAATGGTGTCACAAGAGCCTCAATGACCCTTTACTCTCTGCAGAGTGTAATGTACCAATAGATATGAATTATTCAGCCACAGAGGCAGAGGACTAAACAGAGTAATTTATTGGGGAAACCTGGGAGCTATGCAGGTATAGACAGGAGGCTCTAGACATCAGACATGAAGGAAAGAAGCATAGAGATGGGATCAAAAGAGAATGATACCATGTGTGAAACGAGGCTGAGCTAGAGAAAGGGGAATGCAGATCCCAGGGCTCTGTTTGCAGAAGAGCTGAGCCCTTGGAATGTGGAGTGGAAGAGTGGACGCCAACGTGAAGCATCAGTCAGGTGCATGGACAGAGCTTTGGATCACGAGCCAACTCCTGGCGGTTGTTCAGGTGCATCCTTATGCACTGACAGTTAGGAGCCTGGTGAGAATGTAGGACAGGACCCGCTAAGCATCTTGGGCTCAGCTTATCTTCAGAGCGAGTCTTGAAATGACGTTCATGCATCTTTGCACGGGAGGCAAAAACAAAGTGGGTTTTCTCCGGGGAGCTATAGCTTTCCTCCTTACAGGAGAAACAGGATGTGGTCGGGATAGAGTGCTGGTGATCCAACACTAGGTTGGATGTCCTGTGACCTCTGTGGAGCTGGTCTCTGGGATTTCACCATGTCTGCATCCTCCCTGCACCCCCTCATACTTGCCAGCTTTGATCATGAGCACATCCCTTCCCAACCTCAGTTCCCAGAATGCCGCTGTCCATCCCTCTGCCAGGTGCATGCTCACCTCCCAAGTGGAGCTGGCTCTGTCAGCACCTGGCCTGCCAAGGCTGTGGCCGTGCCTGAACAAAGCAGCTACACACAGGTCTGCTGGCAGGGCCCTAGTGAGGACGGGACGCCGCAGGGACTCACGATTGCTGGGGCACATGTTCTGGCACATGGCTTTGGACTGGAAATTGTTGTTGTTTCCTTTGCAGCCACCATAGATGAACCTGGAGCAGGTATTCTTCTCCTTATCGTACCACCAACGAGGAAAAAATGCCATGCAAGGGCCAGGTTCTTTGGGCATGGTGCATATATCTGTAGGGAGACCCCAGACTTGAGCAATACGAGTGTCCACCCCTCAAGAAAGCAGCTGATGTTATTACCCCTGCAGACCACCAGACATGGAATGGAGCAGGCTCTTTTCCCCTTATCACAGCCCAGCTCCACTGGAGTATGGTACACATTGCAGGGAGACCCCAGAGCAGAGCTGTTGGGGTGTCTGCAGGCCTGGAGAACATCTGTCTCCCCCATTCCTCATGGTCACCATCGCCATTGTCTTCCCTGAGAGTGAGGAGACTGATTTCAAGGCTCTGCTCCCAATTCAGTGTGTGCATATCGACCTCCCCTGTTACCTGTCTTGTCCTTTACTTCCTCTTCCGGAAAATGGGACTGCAACATCCCACCCCGCTAGTGGCACAGGGCTGTCCTAAGGTACATTCATGGACCTGAATGTGCAGCTTTTAGCACAGTGCCTGGCAGAGAACAGCTGCTCAATAAACACGTCCTGAATGGATAAAAGAGATGGAAGTGCCTTGAACATGACAAAATATAAGCCACATACTCTGCCCTGCAAACCATGCCAGGAAGAGAGAGTCTGGGATCATGATAAAAGGCAAGTAGGGCAGGGAAGGCAGGGGCTAGGTTTTTAGATGGCCAAGCACCTTTCATCCCACAGTGAGCTTCAGTCCTGTGATGGGTTGAATTGTGTCTCCCCCTACCCACCCCACACCCATTCATATGTTTTTTGTTTTGTTTTGTTTTTTAATTATTTTTTTATTATGTTCAGTTAACAACTGTATAGTACATCATTAGTTTTTGATGTAGTGTTCAATGATTCCTAGTTGCGTCTAACACGCAGTACTCATCACAACACGTGCCCTCCTTAATACCCATCACCTTGTTACCCCATCCCCTCCCCCCGCTCCCCTCTGAAACTCTCAGTTTGTTTCCCGGGAAGTCCTAACCCTCACTACTTGAGAATGTGATCGTATTTGGAAATAGAGTTGTGGCAGATGTAATTATTTAAGATGAGTCATCCTGGAGGAGGATGCATCCCTAATCCAATATGATTGGTCTTCTTATAGAAAGGGGAAATTTGGACACAGAGAGAGAGAAAGAGAGAGAGAGAGAGAGAGAGAGAACACCATGTGAAGCTGAAGGTAGATGTCTACAAGCCCGGGACTGCCAAAGATTGCCAGCACACCACCACAAGTTAGGGGAGAGGCATGGAACAGATGCTCTCCTGATAACCTGAGAAAGAACCTGCCTTGCCAACACTTGACCTTGGACTTGTAGCCTGAGGACCTTGAGACAATACGTTTCTGTTGTTTCAGCCACCCAGTTTGTGGTCCTTTGTTTATAGCAGCCCTAGCAAATGAATGCAGATCTGAACTCAGCTCTGAGTTTCTCAAGGGAAAACTCCTGGCTTACTTCTCTGCCACTCTCTTTAATCTTCAGTGTCTCATGCCTGGGCTGTTGGGATAGCCTGGAACTGATCTCCTGCCCCTGTCCCTAGCCCCTCCAATCAATCCTTCGTGCTGCCCACCAGAGGGAAGGACCTAATGTACCTGAAACAAAGCTGATCACATCATTCCACAGCTAAGATCTTGACTTCGTGGCAAGTCTTCCCATGACTCACAGGCTCTGTAGGCTGGCTCCTGCTTGTGGTTCTGCTCCACCCCCCACCACAGTACCATTTGAGGTACATGCTCCTGCAATATTCAACACCCTATGCTATCCCACACACCTACACCTTTCACTCTGCATTCCCTCTGCCCACCCTGCTGCTGTTCATTAGTGACACTCCCACTCTTCCTTCAAAACCTCAGACATCAGCTCCTCTGTGATGTCACTGACTCCATATACACCCCATACCCCTACAGGTGCCAATCCTGCATTGTTCCACCATGCTTCTGATCTCATGTGCATGATTGTCACTGGTTTACATCCTCAGTCTCCTCCATGAGGTTGTGAGCTTCCAAGGGAGCAGAGATTGTGTCTGATTTCATCTTGGAGCCTCATTCCTAGCAGGTGGTCTGGCTCAGTATAGGATCATGCAGAATGTTGAGGGTAAAACCAAATGCATCCTGACCTGAACTAAATAAGCCATTCATTGAGCACCTACTGTGTGCAAGATGCTTTAAGAGACAAAGAAAAGGCATGGCCTCTACTCTTTAGGAGCTCCCAGTCAAGAATAACAAATAATTTAAACTAATATATGTCATCTGGGGATATTGTGCCAGGCATTGCTCTAAGTACTTCACGTGCATCAACTTTTTTGATCCTCCATACTTGGAGGATTTAACACTGGCCCTTTTATTATCTGGGGAAACTGAGGAACAGTGGGGGAGAGTTGTTAATTTGCTCAGGCTGGTAAAAACCAGAGCTAAGAATTGAACTCAGGGAACCTGGATTCAGAATCCCTCACCTGTAGGCAAATGAACAACTTACCATCCTCCTACCCACTCTGCTCCATTGTCAGGTCCTGCTTACTTGACCTCCTAGACACTTTTCAAACACACCCCACTCCTCTCCATCCCCTCAGCTACCTCTCTGGTCCAAGCTACCACATCCTGTCTTCCTGAAATCCTTGAAGAACAACATGATCACGTCACTGTCCACCTCAGTGGATTTCCATCACTTTGGATCAAAGTGAGATGCTAGGCCACCAGACCCTACCTACCAAAGATCCTTTCCCTCGTACCATGCTCATATGTACTCTTGCTCTCTGGCCTCCAGGCCCCACCATTGAGCCTTTGTGCATATTATTCCCTGCACCTGCAAAAGCCCTCCCCCCGCCGACAGTATGCCTAAATTTACTACCCATCCTCTGAACACAACTCCAGATTGCTTTCTCAGGGAAACCTTCTTCACCTCCCTGACCATACTGGTCAAATCCTATTATGAGTCTCAGAGACACTCAATGTATATTTGTTAAACAAAGAGTAAAGTATCTTTGATAGTCTATTTGGAGCCCAAGGAGATGGCCATGGAGTTAAGATTGCAGGAGCAAAGGAAAGGCCCCCTGGTCTGGAGTAGTCAAGGGAGGTTTCCTGGGGCTAAGATGGACTTCAATAAGCAGAGAGGCTGCCCCTCTGCAGCAAAAAGCTGGTAAATATCAATAGCTTCATTATCACTTCCAGCAACAATGTGCCAACAGTAGCCAAATGGGGAGTCAGAAGATCACGAGTCCAAACAAACAAAAAAGAAAATCATAAGAGTTAAAAGCAACCATGAGACTGTCTGGGACAATCCTACAGTCATCTTCTGTTTGGGGAAACTGAGGCCCAGACAGGATGAGGATACTATCTAATGTCACACATAATATCAGGGGCAGTGATGGCTCTAAATTGCAGGTCTTCCCAACCCAGCAATCTTGGTCAGAGACCAGCCCTTAGCAAAGCAGGGACGATGCCACCCCCGTGGCCATAAGGTGAGGGTGTGGGCAGAAGGGCTGGTTATTCTGAGGCTCTGAATATTACCTTGGTGGAGGTCTAAGCATTTTTTTCCACAGCTGAAGATGCAACACTTCTTCTTGTTGTCCAGGCACTGTTTGTCCTTTGTACATACATCCCTTTCTCTGAATTCACATTTCTCTCGGATTCTGGGGCATCTCCCTAGGAAAAGGACAGTTTTACAACCGTGGATGTAGGAGGGCACAGTGCCCACTCTTCTCCCAACCTGAGGCAATTCTGCAGAGTCAGGGAAGTTTGCTTTCTCTTTGTTCATCCACAGGAGACCTTTTCCACAGGGTGCTCTCATGTATTTCCCAACACCGCCTTCACTACCCTTCCTTCTGACCACCCCTTATTCTCTACCTTCTTACCCCGTCCCTAGTTCCACCCCCTAGTGCCACCCCCTCTAAGGCAGGATTTCTCAACCTTGCCCCTAGGGCCTCATCATTATTTATGGGAGGGGGAGGGCTGCCTTGTGCACTGTAGGATGTTTACAGCATCCCGGCCCTCTATCCACTGGATGCCAATAGCACTCCCCAGTTGAACAACCAAAAATGTCTCCAGACATAGCAAATGTCCCCTGGAAGGCAAAATCACCCCACTGAAAGCCACTGGTCTAAGCTAATCTGGTCATTTTGGCCTCCTTGAGGAGTCAGTGTTTGGGAGTTCCTCCGGGGTGGGGGGGGTGCTATTGCACAGTGATTAATATCCCTCACCCTGGCATCAGAGAGTCAGGTTTTTAAATTCTACCTCTTGGCTTACCACTCACCTCTCTGAACCTTGGGTTTTTCACTTGTAAAATTGTTTTAGCCTTACAGAGTCACTGAGGAAGAAATGAGACAAAATGTGTAAAGCTCTAATCATAGGAACTGATTCATAGCAATGTTAATTAAAGTTTGTCAACTGTTTCCCATAAGCCAAGCACTTTTCTATGCATTTTAAATACTATCTCATTGAGTTCTACTGACATCCCCATTTTGCAGAAGAGACAGAAGCACATGGAATTTTATGGCTACTGAGTGGTGGAACCAGAATTTGGGCCCACCATGTCTGAATCCAGATCTCTCAAACTCCTTACTTTCTAAATGTTCAGTAAGTGGTAGCAATTATCATTATTACTATATAGTCATGAAGTATTACTGTCTTCAGTTCAAAGAAACTTCTGGATACTTTTATCCCAAAGGCAAGGCACACCTGGGGATGCAAGAATACTTTATAGGGCTACATTTGAAAGAATCAGGAGTTGGTAGAGATGATATCCTGAGAATGGGGGCTGTTTCTGTTGCGGGGTGAGGAAAGGTCTCCTAGGCTTCCCAGATTCCTATAGCCCCTCCCATAAACTCTGGATCTTGTGACTCTTCCCTCCACCCCCAATTGACCCTCACTTCAAAGGACTGAAAGTGGGGGTTGCCTCAGGTCTGCAATCTTGCATTCACTGAAGAGATCTTCCATCAAGAGGGAAACTGGAAGAAATATTCCAAATATGTCCCCACCTGGGACCAGGGCTAACATGGTGGGAAGCAACTCGGGTCTTATTCCTTGTTCCCTCCTCCCAGCAACCTTCCCTCTCTCCAGGGCGAGGACTGAGGCCCTAGTACTTACTGGGAAAGATCCAGGCAGTCAGACCAGGTCCCTGGACATTCACTAGAAGGGTAGATAAGACCAGGATGCTCAAAAATCTAGAAGACTCCATTCTGAAGAAGAGCTGGACTGTCTGGTGATTCCAGAACATGAAAATATCTAGCTGGACTGTCTGGTGATTCCAGAACATGAAAATATCTAGCTGGACTGTCTGGTGATTCCAGAACATGAAAATGTCTAGCTGCCTTTGTCCAGCCTATTTCTTCAGTAGTCAGTATCTTGGATGTGAGAACTGGAGTCAAGCCAGACACCTCCTTTCCTGCTGGGAACGCCAAGTTCCTGAGATCATCAGTGTGACCAGTTGGGATCTACAGTGCACAGCCCTGGGGAAGGGTCTTTGATTGCATGGCTCCTGATCCTCAGCAGCCTGGGCTGGGCTGGGCCCTCTGGTCAACCAGGGGGAGTGGGCAAAACTTGTCTCACTTTCTAGGTGACCTTAGGACTCAATGCCACCATCAAGGGTCTTCTTCTTGATGACCCTGAGAGTTGTGGAATGTGCTTGTTCTCCATTCACTTTCCATTCTATCTGCATGCTGAGTGGCATGCCCCTTTTGTTTGTCTCTGACAATGTGTCTCTAGGGATATCTTGTTACCTCTTTGTTTTTCTGTGCCTCTCTGTGTCCATATCTGACTTACTTTCTTTTTCTGTGGGACTCTCATGGTCTCTGTGTCTCTTTCTCCTACTCCCACCCTTTCCTCCCATCTTTCTCCCCTTTCTTTGGGTGGTTTATATTCTTTGACTAAGGCCAAAGAGTAAATTTGTTGCCACAGAGTGGGGTGTGGTGGAGGAACAGCCTATCAGCTGAGTTTTCAGAAAGTGTCGAGGTCCTATTGTTTGAGAGCAGTGGAGAATGTCAGAAGAGCTTATGGGGAGTGTCTCCCATCTGGTGCAAACTCCTTGTTGTTTGAGGAGGAACTGGAAGATGGGGAGACCTGCCTGAGAGACTATACCCCAGTAAAGGTCCATAGGCAGCAGAGTTGCTGGCTTCTGACTGAACTGGTGAAAGGGCTCTGGAGAGAGTGCTGGAGTACTTGGTAGCTTTCCTACAGGGAATCCACAATGCCAGCGAGTCCATCAGTCTTGGCAGAAGGAGAGACTCTCTTCAAAGTGTAAATGTCATCTGTAGGGTTCCCATTTCCTTCCTTAACTAGCTGTTGCACTTTGGGGCCAAGCTTTGTTCTCCATTTGTCCTACACGATGGGCAAAACCAGACAAAGCCAGCCTTATCGTCAGTGAGTGACTATATGGTCACCAAATTTAGGATCACCAACAGAGCCCCCTATGGGAATCTGTGGTGTAAGTCTCAGCCTATTGACAGTGGTATTCTCTGCTAGGAAAGCCTGAGATGCCCTTGGAGCATATTTACTCAAAATGAGACCCACAGACATTCCCTTCAGAGACATCCCCCTACCACCACTGGACCAGTGTTGTGGTTGGACCAGGCTTTGTGGTTTTATTATGATCACAGGACCCACCTCTGCCAAATCATCAGGGAACTTAAGAAAACGAGATTTATTGCTCACAAGTCCTGGATGGTACATGGCAAGTCAGAAAGCCACACAGAAGGTTGTGGACAGAGAGAGGGGAACAAAGTGCAGACTTGGGGCTCTCCCTTTATTCAGGTCCAAGGGTGGAATAGCTGTTTCATGGGTTCACTTTCTATTGGTGAATTTAAAGCATATAAAAATGCGGATTAGGGTGTGGGAAGGGAGAAGCAGGGTCACTCCAGTGATTAGTTATCTGGGTTACTGGAGGCTTTTCTAAAAGGGGAACTTCACTGGTGAGGGCAGCTGGTTCCTTATCCTAGTTGTGTTGTTAGTATCTGTGTTACATAGCTGGGGATGTATTTATTCGAGATGGGTGTCTTTGAAATGGATGCCTTAGCACTCAAAAGCTTAATGTCAGGCACTTACATTACAATGAAAAAGCTGAATATCAGGCACTTACACTACAGAATCCCATCCTACCAGTTTCAGGAACCAGGTGGACCCCACAAAGGGACCAAGGAATAAATTTCTAATGAACAACCAAGATGTCTTGAGTGGTGCTCTCCCTCTTATTTTGTGTCCTTCCCAAACTCAGTCCAGGAGAGAACACAAAGCTGAACCAACTGGGTGGAAGGACTCTAAGGGCACAAGTCCCACACATAGGGATGGTAAGTCCCAGAGGAATGCAGATGCTGACTCAATGTCACCAAGTTAGTGAGTGTCAGAGATAAAGGTAAAAGGGAACGGAGTGTCTGAGTTCTTGTCAGAGGTCACTATGGAATGTTCTGATACAAGTATGGATATAATATCTTGCTATGGAGTTGAAGGTAGGGAGGAATAGTGCATAAAAAGGGATGAAAGTGATGTCTATAGTGGGGACAGAGGCTAAAGAGTCCCCCGAGTCTGTAAATGTCCAAATGGTTTCCAGGACTCCCAAACAAGGCTGAATTCTCTAAATTTTCTTGAATGTAAATAAAAATTCAGAAGTTCAGGTTGTTCTATCTCTTCTGTCCTGCCTAATATCCCACCCCACCCAAGGATCTCACTTTCCAGGTGGGTGAGATGAAATTTATGCCTTTGGGGCCTAGGATGAATGACATTTTTGGCCCCTTCCCTCACCCAAGTTCTTGAAGAAGGCCGAGTAAATATCCATGTAGATCTTTGCCCTGCTTCCTTTATCTCCTGTCACTGATGGTCATATTGCCCTCCCTCTGTCTCAACCACACTTCTGTTCCAGCACCAATCCCCTGCTCAGAGTGAGGGACTCCAAGAGGGTACCAAGGTAGAAGGCCTCTACCTGGAAATTCCTGCTTGTTAATTAGGCCAAGACACTTTGCTCAGACTTCCTGTCCCTGGCTTTCTGTGTTGTTCTCTGTGCCTCTAAGCGTATTACTGAGTTTCATGTTTGTTTCCCCAAATAAACTCTGAGCTTCATTGAACAGGTCTGTGTCTAGAACCTAGTGCTTAGAACATTAATAGACCCAGAATAAACACTCAGTACAAACCACTGGATGAGCAAGGTCAATATGTGGATGGCTCATGGTATGTATGATGAATGGGAAGATGAAGAATATGAAGAAGGATGGGTGGGGCTATCATGGATATTTGGGTACGTGAATGCATGAACATGGATGGGTGGGTCAACGGCTGGGGAAGAAGTGGATTGGATTGAACATAAGGATGGATAGGTTAGTCATGGGATGAATGGGCCTATCGATGGAAACTCTTTGAATGAAAGGTAGATGAGTAAATTGGTAGGTGGATGGAGGGCAGATAGGCATAGAAATGTTGGAGAAGCATGTTGATGGGCATGAGAGAATGTGTGTGTGTGAAAGATGGATAAAGGCTGGATATAAAACAGGCAGCTGGATAGGTAGAAAGAAGACGGGTGAGAAGGGGAAGTGGGTAGATATATGAGTGAACAAGTGGTTGGAAAGACAGATCAATTTAAAGTTATGTTTATGCAGGCTAGGTGAGTGGACGGATGTGTGAGTAAATGGATGGAATGATTGGTGGATAGGTGGGAGTGGGGTGGAAACATGAGTATGTGAATGAAAACATTAATGAAAATTAAAGATATAAAAAGAATTATGTACAAAATAATGTGTACCTCTCTAAAGTAATACATTTGAAAGTGGAGAGAAAATGGATGAATTTTAGCAACACATAAAAGACCAAAATTTACAGAAGAAGAGGTAGAAAGCCTGTACAGCTTATAAAATATGTACAAAGAAAACTAGTAAAATAAATACGTCATTATAGAAGAAACCTTACCTAGATCCTTTTGGAGCGAAATTTTGTCTAGCCTTCAAGGAATAGAGGATATCATTAAAAGTATTATTATTGAAGATATTATTAAAAATATTACAGATCATAAGAGGTGCCTGGCTGGTTCAGTTGGTAGAGCATGCAACTTTTGATCTTGGGGTGTGAGTTCGAGCCCCATGTTGGATGTAGACTTTGCTTAAAATGAAATAAAAAATAAACTTAAAAAACTTAAAATATTACAGATCATAGGGAGAAAAAGTACATTTCCCAATTAGTTTTCCATGCTAGTTTGTTGAAAGCTGTATGACTCAAATAGCAAGACATACAGAAGTAATAGATCTATTTTACTTTTGACCATTGATGTGAAAATTCTGAACAAACTATTTGCTTAAAGAACCTTCAGTGTATTAATTCAAGTATACCCTCTATATGATTAAGGTCAATCCAGGAATGCAAGGATGGCTCGGTATATGAAAATTTAATAATTTAAGCTCTTATACTAACAAATTAGAAGAGAAAAATCATTGCATGAGTAGATGCTTAAAAGGTGTTTGATAAAATTCCATGGTAATTTCCAATAGCAGTTGTAAATGGATAAAAAGAAAACAACCTAAGTGCAGTAAAACCTATTTATTCCAAAGCCAAAACAAATGTCCTTTTATACAGGAAGAGACGTTGACTTTATTTAGTTTTTTTAATTTAAATTCAATTAGCTAACATATTGTACGTCATTAGTTTCAAATGTAGTGTTCAATAATTCATCATTTGCGTATAACAGCCAGTGCTCATCACATCACGTGCCCTCTTTTGTGGCCATCACCCAGTTGCCCCATCCACCCACACACCTCCCCTACCACAACCTTCAGTTTGTTTCCCAGAGTCAAGAGTCTCTCATGGTTTGTGTCCCTCTCTGATTTCTTCCCATTCAGTTTTCCCTCCCTTCCCCTATGATCCTCTGCA